TAATTGATAACATTGCCAGATAAATCCTATTGAATCTATTTTGGGTTTGAAGGCCAAATAAATTGAAAGTTCAGTTCCTTTCCAAATGTTCCCGTTTAGGTAAATGCATTCGGCTTGCGTTCTATCGGAACATTGTCCATAAAAAATCATCAATGTGAAAAAATATTGCTCGTAGTGCCTTAATTAAATGGTCAGGTGATCTGTGCGGTATTTTTATTTGCGATAACAATCTATCTTGTCCACAGCCATACTCTTTGTAAACTTTCTACGGAACTTCAAGAGGTAGTATAAGGCGAAAAGTCTATGACTACCATAGTTGCAACCAAACAATTCTCCCACAATTAAAGAGAGATAAAATATTGCTTTGCATGTTAAAAGCATTCCTTTCAGAGTTTGTGTTTTTTTCACGTTAATCAGATGTACTTGAGACGTATGCAAAACTTTAATTGGGACATGAGTATAAGAGATCAGTTCCATTTAGAATTTTAAGCGTCAGTATTTAGCGAGTAAATCCAAGTAAATAATTACATTTCTCAAGGCGCTCACAATAAGTAAAAATTTATCTACTATCGATTATCTCTAAAAGCGCTTTACATACATCTTCATCTCTCGATAATACCCTATGCAGTCGTTGAGGCAAAATATTAAACAGTATGCGTAAGTTTGATATACGACAAGTAAAAATCAAATCTTATTTCATTTATTTAGTGAATTTTCTTTTACGCTTAAACTTTATCCCATAGCACGTCATAGTCCAATAGATAACATTTTTATTCTAAAAGTAATAAGAAGAAGAAAATTTACATATATATGAAATTAATGTAAGTATTCCTTACCCTTTATTTTATCCAATACTGTAAATTTCATATAGTATTCGTGTATGTATGATAAGTTTAATGCAATCGATGACGTTGCTGAAGAAAACTATAAAACGAATCGCTTGTTTCGCAGATTTTCCTTGCAATTTCGCTTTAAGTACGGTGACATGCACGCATATAAAAAACGTAAACGTAGACACACACACACACATACAATGACTTTGGAAATCATCAACTGATCAGTCAAACTAAACAAAAAAAAAAAATAAATAAATAAAAAACAAAAAAAAACCGAGAAAGAAAAGAAAAAGTGAAGAAAAAACAAAAAGGGAGCAAAAAATCAAAAGAAATAAAAAAATAATCAAATATATATATATATATATGTGTGCATGTATAAACCACATATTGCACGTATGTGCATACATATGAACAACAAAGATAAACTGGTACAAATGTAAAAATTTTAAGTATAAAACTATTGTGAGTTTTTCAGATTTTTAGATTTGATTTGTGAAAACGCTTTTGTTGTTGCTGCATATTACATACGCACACACACGAATATATACATATATACATATATATATATATATATATATATATATATATATATATATATATATATCTGTGTGTGTGTATGTGTATAAATATATATGTATATATATATATATATAAAATTTCAAGCACACACGTACCATAGTTGCTGATAAACTTACATACATATCTACGTAAATACTTGCACACACATAGATATGTATTTATATTTACAGTGTTGACATTCTGTTGCCTCAGGAACTCAATTTCAAAACTGCAAATCGAAATAACTTTGTCAGCAAGCAGTAGCATGCGTACATTTATTATGCTTGATAGTGGACGTGATCGTCAGTCGATCGTTCCTATATGAAACAGTGTCGAGTAAAAAGAATCGCTTCACATATTTTCACACAAGGACACAATAAATTTATTAAAGGTGTTTTTTTTTTTTTCTTTCTTTTTTATCTGCGAAGAGCATTATGAAAAGAATCAATAGAGATGTACATGTCCGTCTGCCTGGCTACAATATTCATCGATTCGTTAACGTCACCTTTAAGATTTTAAAATTCTGTTCAGAAAAAGAAACAAAACTGTGTATATTCTATATTCTACCATGGTGACCGGTCATTAGTCAGAAGACGCAACAGTTTGTTTTCTTGTCATAGTTTTTGTGACTTTTTATCAGTTCTCGTATTGCGAAAGAGTAGTCACAAGGCAATGAGCACAATTTCGTTCGGCAATTAGAACTCTGTAGAAAAACGAAAAGTGGAAATCGCCTTTTTTTGCCTTTTTTTAAAACAGAGCTAGGCATGATGATCATGGCTATCGCGGGTGGGTGGATAAACTTCCGATATATTGATGAAAAATTTTACTTCCGACAAAGACTTTCAATAATAGGCACGAGGCTTCACTCCTCTGACATCTGCAAAGATTGCATTGCCAAGACGTACGCTTATCACTAGACACTAGAAAGAGCTCTGAATAGCTCGTAACTACTCTTGGGATTAGCGTAAAGTTGTTTGAAATAATAGAAAAGCCGAGTCATTCAATTTTTCTTCATTTAGTTTTTCCCATTTTTCGAAACTTTTTTTTTGTATATTTAACAAAAAGTGTAAGTAGTTCTTCCAGTGCCTCTTCCATCTTCTATTTTCATCTTGTATGAAATAAATGAAATAAATCGCATTCTTCAGCTAAACAGAGACACAATTAAGCCGAGAGTGACAAATGCACTCACGACGATAACAATTTTTTATGCCAAGATGACCCTGAAGTGTATTTTTCGATTCTACCAAAGATTTGACTAAATTCGTTCATCTTTCCATGTTCGTGCAAACGATTGCATTTGCATATATACCAAGATATATAACCGTTCGTAACATATATAAAATTGCTCTATTTCCAGAGGATCCATTGAATCCTCTATAAATCTTTCAATTTCTTTGTGGCTAAAATTTTTTTAAAGAAATAATTTGGATAATGTACGTATTAGACTCGCCTAAGATCGCATTAATGCATCAAAAGATGCTCCTCTCGGTGCGTACTCATTTAAATAATATTGTGACTGGCACGAAAAAAAATGAAGTAATTTTTTTTTTTCACAACACTGTATGTTATCTATGTAATTATGTATATGGGGCTATGTGGGGACATATAAATAAATGCACACACATGCACGCACGTGTAAGAACAGTTCGATGCGAACAGTCAATACATTTTGCTAACAACGTTGATTTTTGTATGATTGTTTATATCCATCATTTAAAAGATAGAGGGAGTGCATGTGTGTGCACTAAGTTGGTTAGTTTCTGGATAACAATCAAAAGCAAGCGAATGGAGCTCTTCCGACTATATATACATATATATATATATATATATAAAATTGAATATCTGTATCGGTTCAATCATGTTTCCTTAACTATACATTTCACAAGGATTCTCAACTACGTTCCAAAAATTCGATCATAAGAACGCTTCCCTTCTAAGACAATAAAATGACTCTGCCATGCGAATAGCAAAACCGAAGCTACTTTCTTTTATTATTTTCTAAGAAAATATTAAACTTTTAAGAGATGAAAGTCCATAAATTCATGTCAGTTAATTAAGTCACACTATTGCTGAGCCATAACTTACTCCAATTATCGAACATTAGGTTTTACATATTCCAGACTGATCGATATTAGTATTCGTGCTATTAGTCGACCTATAGTCAGGCTTGATAAGATGTCTATTTTAAAAAAATCATATGTTGCTTTTGAATGTCATTACTTTTCATGCTTTTTAGTATGTGTAAGATTGCGATATGGTTGACCTTTTCTTTGTAAAACATGAAATGCTTTTCGCTTTGGCAAAAAAGAAACACAAAGAATAATAGAAACAAAAGAACATTAAAATCTTAAGCAGCACAGGGTCTTAAAAAGAATTGCTTGTGATCAAAGAAGTGCTTGTTTATGAAAAGAAGCCAGAACTTTTTTAAGAAGAACCCGGCATTACCCATGAAAACAAAAATAACTTAAGGTTTGAGAGATGACTTTTTCCTTTCTTTATACTGTTCTTTCTTATCTATCATTTCTTCATTACTTTCATTTTTTATCAGTCACGCATTTTATTTTTCCTGCATTTATTTCTTCTACCTTCTTTGAGACCTTCTTCTTACTTATTGTGTTTGCATCGACAAGAAGAAATACTGCTTGGAAGAGGAGCGTGAACGAAAACGAGGAAGGCCTATAGTACTCCTTAAAGTAGTGTTGCACGGGTAATCCTACCACTGTCATGAATTTCTTATCCGGACGAACGTCTCATCAATTTGCATCCAGCAAGCATTACTTACCTTCATGGTAACTGTTACTCGAATAGTACAGTGGACTCACAAATTTTAAGAAAATAACTTCAGGATGCATGGCTACCGTTCCTGGTGAGGTAAACAGGAAAAGAAATGCCCAAATTAAATCGGAGGCTGAAAGCAAATATAAAGAGGTTGCTTCCGTCTTAAATAAATAAAGCCAAGCAAAAGCAAACCGCATCAGAACTGTTAGCTAAACTTTTAGGTCACAAATAAAGACCCAGTGAGCGCAGCTGGTGACCTAAGCCTTAGTGAGTTGATTTTAGATATGAAAATAGACCGAGTGTAGCAGTTAAAGGAACAAGAAGTTTACCGATGGAAAAAACGGACGGCAAGGCGTTTAAATAGCATTGAAAAGTGAAGCCGAAGTATGTACAGACAACGTCCATTTTTTCGACATGAAATCTATGGGTATTTTCGACTAACCGCATAGCAATTTAAAATCATTGCCAGGTATATATTAAGAACATGTTTTCACTCTCAACAGCATTCACTGAAACTGCAAACTTCACCAGGTTTATTGTGCAAAAATGTCCCAAATGTGACAAAAGAAAGAGAGGAAAAGAAAAAATCTTAACACATTTATTAAATGAGGAGTTTCTGTGCCAAATAGGTAGGTCCAAGTGAAAACTATAAATTTAGGACAACTGCACTACATATAAGATGAAAGTGTGAAAACAAATAAAAATTTTGTATCGCGTTGCGTAACATGGAATAGTTGTTCATAACGAGAAATTTTTCATAAGTCAATCCTCGCCTTTTTTAAGGCCAAATGCAAACGCCAAATCGATTTATAAAACATTGCACTCCACTTATATAACGTCAACGTACATTTTGGGGTTGCCAGCGATGTGTTCTTCCATGATAATTCTCTTCCTTTTCTGCCACTGTTCCAGCTTTGTCATCACCTCCGGTATAATTGTTTGCACTGCTAAGCGATCCACTTCAGGACCATCACGGAGTTCAACTTGTGTCTTAAAGTTGTAATTAGGAGTATAACCGTTTAATTTAAGGAAATGATCGAAATAGAATGGTACGATTTGTCTTTGTATATTGTCAACATGGGCGATACTTTCGCGTACATCCGTCATTTGCATTACTTCATCTTCTCCATGGAATGCGCGGAAGAAAAATTTGGTACGCTCGGATACTTTTGGTTTGGGTTCTTCAATAAGTTTGCGGCGCTTTTTAATAATATAGCGCGGCGGCTTGGCAATTACTTTCGGTTTTTCATAGGGTGGCTGTAAATTCTTGACAACGTTCTTCATTTCCGACTCTATGCGTCGCTCAATGTGATAGGCCTGATAGGACTGCTTCTCGCGATAGGCTCGTTCAGTACGCAAATTATTTTCAATTTTATGACTTACGTCCATTGGGATATTTTCGAATTTGGCTACAATATGGTAAACAAATTAAATTGTCATTATCTTCCATTCAAGGAACTTACCTATTAACTCCATAACAACATCGGATATCATGGCCACCATATCGATTGGCTGTAACTCCTGTTCACCGGTTCCTCTCATGTTCGGTGGCACTACTTCACGCCAAACTTCCCATATAACAGCTCGATCCTTGTTCGCAGTTTCATTATTAAAAGAAAGAGCAATCGGTTCACCTAGAAAGTTGACAGTGCGGGTTCGCAGCCAACTGGCGCGATCTTCCATGAAGTACAATTTTGCACATTTCCGGTCAACATATTCTTCTTTTTCTGTTAAATCATCTACGCACCACTCCTGAAACGTTTCCAGACGATGCTGCAATTCTGTGTGTATGGCCAACGTAAAATGCATTTCCAAAAGCAGAACAAATGTTTTTACCTTCAAATGTTCAATGCCTCGAAGAAAGCTATCAGCATTTGGAAATACGATCAAATTTGGATATTTATTCGCCAAATATACATTTTCATAGAAAGCTTTAATGGCCCAAGCGTCGTCTTTTTCGCGTACTCGCATATTGACTGTACTACGTTTACTGATCGATTCTTCGTAATTCTCCAATTCTATACATTCGCCGTTCTCATCCTTTTTAATATGTATCCAATCATGTTCTAGACGCCATTCCTGGTCGGCCATCAGGTAATGAAAATTTTGTAGCATTATGCAAGTTATCCAATGGCCCTCGATAAACACAATGTCCATATTGAGGATTACGGATTGACGTTCTAACTCTCGAAACTCCGCTTTTAGACGATCTGTTTGATCGTAATAGGATTTCACCTTATAAACCACTCCCATTGAGGCTTCGTATTCACGTTTGCCCCATTTGGCAAAAAGTTTTTTGTAAAGTATATTTACTCTTTGCATGTCGGCCCAGTGTTGTTCATTTAAACGATCATAGATTTTAGTTCGTACAATTTGTCCTTGTATTAGCATGCATTCAAACTTGAGACGAAGTGCGTCTTTAATAAAAGTATGACTTGATTTAAACTTGTACATTTTAATAGGCGGGCGGTTTTTCAGTTCATCCACATAGTTTTCGTCAATATCGGTGGCTACAACACCCTTGTATTTGTTTTCGCCACGGCCAAGCAGTTTTTCTCGCACATCTTCAACAGGAACCTCCAAACGGAGACGTAAACCATTCTTAAGTCGTGTATTGAATGTAAAGAAGCTGTCTTTGGGTGTTATTAGTTCCGCTTGAGCTTTTTTTTGACCTGAAAATGGCAAAACTACCCACGGATTGGTACCTTCTTTACTCACATCTATAGGTTCTGCTTTAAATCGCGAACGATGCAATTCTTCAAATGGAACTAACGATTTTCGTATATAATCCAAAGGTATCTTCTCTTTGCCCTCCATAAGCAGAAAACTTCCGCTGTCGTTGGTGAAATTTGTGCATTCTGAACTGCTTAATGATGTCAAACAAGTCTCGATACTTTGTAGGTCTTCTTCCAATTCACGTATCAACGCTACTCTATCCACGAATAAACGCTCACCAGCGTCCTCTGATTTCTTATTATCTTGTACGACTGTTTTGATATCATGTAAAAATTGCAAATATTCCTGTCGCCCCGGATAGTCCAAGCTTTTTAGTTCTTGGGAATCACGGCTCCGGAATACTTTGTCTTTTAAGTCGCACACGTCTTTGTGTTTGATACGGTCCAGAACATCGGTTTTTTTTTTACTGCTTTGATTATGTTCAGCAATTAAACGACTTATATCCCACTTTGGTAAAGTCAAGTCCATGCTGACATATGCATTGCAAGGTGGATTCGCCATATCAAAAGTTTCTGCTGTGCCATTTTCGTCCTTCTCTTTCGTCTTTGTAATTTCAGGTCTCACCACTTTCGCTTTGTAATGAACGTCCACGCGCTTAATCTGTGTGGGATCCCAATGGTCGTGATGGTGACGAACATTAAATAGATCAGTAAACGGCCGCTTGCTTAAAGCAACGTTAGCATAGTTAATATGATCTTGTGGTAGGTGAGACATATGTGGAACGTTGGTCGTTTGAACGACATCATCAAATATTTCCGAGGGTACTCGTAAGTTTTCATAGTCTCGCCTACGTCTGGGATGTTGTCTAAGTGTGGGTTCGCGATATTTCGGTGCTGGCATATTGGTTCGCAATCTTATTGGTCTTATCTTAGCGAGAAATTTTTCTCTTTCTACTTTGCGCTGCACTTCATCCATTTCGGCATCATAATCAGGCTCACGTTCGGGTACCCATTCCGAATCAGAGCTGCTCTCTGAATTTTCGCATTTAGTTTGAAGACTTGATTTCCTGACAAACTTGCAAGGAATGCCCAAAAGTTTTAGTCGCTTCTCCTTAATATCCATTTGGCGTCGTCTCTCTATCTCGGCCTTAGCTTGTATATATTCAGCCGTTGTTTTTAAACCTAAATGTCGTGTATTCAAATCTGGTAAAGGTCCTTTAATTTGCGCCAATCTTTTAGCCACATCACCAAAACGATAACTAATTAAATCGAATTTCTTCACGCGGTAACGTAATCGCGGTTTAATAAATTTCAAACTCTTGCGTATTACACGCTCGTAATGCCGTCCCAAGGGCTTATCACGAAATTCCTTGATAGCGCTCTGTTTGACTACGGGCACTTTCATACCGTATTTCGGCGGGAAAAGATCCAAATTGGGATCATCGGGGCTTCGCAATTTCTGTATACCTACATCAACATCCACCCTAACCTTTTCCTTTTTCGGAACCAATTCACCTAACCATTGTTCGCGGGTAATGCAGCCTTTCTCTTTGCGGATGCCTTGCTGCTTTTCGCGCTGATGAAATTTACCTCTTACCGTATCACCCAACTTAAAGTGAAAGCCACGCAATTTAAAAACATTGCCCTCCTTTCCAACTACCATATCATCTTCGTCATCAGATGATTGCTCGGTGAGTCTAGACACGTGTGAAAGTGCGCTGTCACTGCTAATTTCCAAATCAGCCTCAGGATAATTTTTTTCTTTGCCTACATACTGTATATAAAAATCTCGCTTGACACGGGCTTCATCTCGTAGCATGCGATCGTGCGCTTTAAGATCGCGTTTAAAAATTTTCGTTTCTCGTATGGTGTGTGGAAATATGCGTCGTTGTACCTCTGGCTTTTTCAGCAGCATTTCTGTTTTGAAACTGCGTTCAATCGCATTTTCGATTTGATCCTTGAACGACCGAAAGTTCCTTTCGGCCAATGTCATACCATACTGTTTTCCCTCTTTTGCCTTCTTGTGCTCGTCTTTTTCTTCATTTTTCAACATTCTTTGCCTATTCTTCAAATACAAATCCTTATATCGTTCGCTCCGCCGTTCTCTTTCTTGTTTTACTAGCATTTTATTGTAGGGCTTATCGCCAGCTCGAAAAAGTTTTCCTAACTTAAAAGGCTCCTCACTGACCGGAGGAGGTGGGACCACATTTCGATCACGTACAGCGTATCGGGGAGGTATATCTAACCGTTGCCGATGCAATTCATGTTCCACCCGCTCTGCTGTCTCCTCCTTTACACGTTTACGTTCTAAATGTCGACATACGCGTCGATAGTTTCGCTGATTTTGCAAGTCTTGCTCATCTTTCTGATAGGTATTTGCATAGTCTAAGCCCTGGAAATCCAAATTTAAGGGATTTTCTAAATCGATCACCTCGCATACAAAAGATTCGGAAGATTCAGAAGCCGCAGCAACGCAAACGTTTTGCGCATGTTTAACCATTTTGGTGAGAGCATCGAATTCTTTCTTCTTTGAGTACGCTTTAGTACGTAAGACATCTGGATTGACTAAACAATGAACCTTACGCGGATCTTGAGTCAAAAAAAATTTTTGTTTCGGCAATGACATTTTAGACAGAAGCTCATAGTTATGAGGACAAGTACCAACAAACTTTCTAGGTGCTCCAGCTACAAAGCTTTCTTTGCAAGGACGCTTCCACTCGGGACCATGAAAATCTTCAGGTTTGTGCGAACTTTTGTGTTCGGTATCGATCATGGCTTCGGAAGTCAATTTGTTGCGCTTGGTCTCAGTAGTCGAATGATGAGGGGTTGTTAGAGTCTCAGATCTAATGTCGACGGATTTTATCGACGAAGAGCCACAACTTTTGGCCCGAAATTTTTTCGGCACGGAAAGAATCATATGGTCAAAATGTGAATTTGTCGAAGTAGATAAATCAATGCCGCGAATTTTTTGCCCATGGTCCGACTTTGAACTTATTTTCTCAAATGCCTCCTTCTGTTCCTTCTGATGAACTATGAAAACGCCTTTCGATTCACATGTTGTCGGGAAATGCAAATTTTGGATAGATACTGTTTGCTCCGAAGCACGTTCAGACCTGGAGACATCGCTAGATTTCGGACCTGATTTCGGCGGCATTGTTGTAGTCGTCTTTGGCGATATTTTCGACGTAGGCTGAATGGAAGGTTGTTGCATTCTTCTACTTATTAATAACAGCTACCGGCGAAGTAATTTTATTTTGTTAATTGAAAAAAAAATATCTGCCCTTACGAAATGGATAACCATTAAATATTTTCTGTTTGAAGTAAATCATTTTTATTGAAGTTTATATCAATTGGAAGGCGAGAAAATTTTGAAACAAGTGGATTATGTGCAGAGTCGGTGTTTTTGCGGAAAGAAGCAAATTCATTGCGAGATGAATGGAATTGTGTTCTGCAAATCGAAATTAATTTGAAAATTAAAAATATTTCAATTAAGTTAATCAATCAATCATCAAAAGTTCTCATCCTAATAAGAATCGCGAAGAAACATACATCAGTGAGTCGCGGAAAAGATTACTGATTCTGGTAGTGGCAATAAGGCTAGGCAAAGGGAGTAATTCAATCTATATATAGCCCTAAACACAATGATGTATATCACGTATATGTTATATATGTATAATATATATACACATGTATATAAACAAAGCTAGAAAAATCATAAAAGTCAAGTCAATCATTTCATCGCCGAAATATCGAAAATTAACACATTTCGACTTGGGACAATTTTCATCGATTCTCCATCGATTATCACGTCATTGCATCCTTGAATATGAAGCGCATCAAAAAAACTTTGCTTATATATAAGGTGGGCAGCAGCAGTTTGCAAAGCTAAAGTGAAATTTTGTATCCGATTTGCGATTGTTTTCAGCCTTCTCAGTTCATGATATGCTGCATACATGACCGATATGTTGCCGAAAAATGCATTTTATCTTGTCTCCACCATATGTTGTTCATACGTTTGCAAGGCCAAACAGTAAGCGCTCATGTCGTCCATATATTTGATAATTTCTAGCATTCGAAGCAAGTATTAAATGAAGTAAATTCTGATTCTACATAATCTTGACGTATATTTCGGTCCACACTTCTTTCTACTCGGGTTTAGAAGAATTCATATTGTTTTGTCTAAACTCTTTACGTTATATAAAACTATGATCAGAACGTGTGTGAATGTATTTCCATTTAACTGGCGCGGTCTTATCTAACGTAGTCTTTTTTTTTATTACTTTTGTGACGCTCTAGCTAAAATCTGTGATCTGCGCGAATATGTTTAGTGGAAGTGGAGTTTTTGGGTCAGCTTAATGGCTTCAATCGAATCGATAGCACGCCCCTACAAGAATATTTCAAGTATCGACAACAGCCGGAATTTTATGGATTGTGAAATGGGGAACGAGCTAAATTTCTGGTCAATAATTCTTGAGGCGTCAACACTGACAAAAAAGTTGTATTATCGTCATACAGAAGTACAGAGATGTTGCTTGTTATCACAAGTTTTTAACGCGACATTCACAGAAGACTTAATTACCATCTTGATCAGAGTAGCAAAAAAAATTCTTATCTAACAAGAGCTTCGATTGTTCTTCTAGCAAGACATTTCATCAGACACATACCGCCCGGGTACGAATGGATAGAAGTTACTAGAACGGCAGCTTTGAAAAGGTGAAAATATGCAAAGGGTGGCCACCATTTCAAACTGGAGCTATCCAATAGGTGATATGAAGAACTTAGTGGCGTTTCATCCATGTCTCCTTATAACACTTCTGGTTGATGTTTAATAAAAAACTTGGCCCTATAATGAAAATTAAATGGAGATGGAACGTGAATGAAGTTATCTTTGTAATCAAAAGTATCATATCAACAGTAGTGTGGTTTTACGCGTAAAAGTGACTTGGGATGAAAAAAAGGAGGATCTACGTGATCTGAATGTATAATTAGACGGAGCTGGTCAGTTACATCAGTTCAAAAATGGGGAGCAAACTTACGAATATCTTTAAAGATCAAATACCGGACAAGTTATAATTTTATTACGTATTTTACAGACAAAAGGATAAGATAACGTAGGCTATTGAATGAACGGGTCTGGCCGAGTTTTCTGTCCACTCTCTGCCTTATCAAAATGTATAAATATCTATACAAATGTGTGCGTGTGTTTATGTGCGTGCAAGGCTTTTGTACCTCATATCGCTATAACGATGCTCTTTAAGTAAGTTTCAATAAGATCGTACAAATGCGACATACACACGTACATATATATACATACATACGTAAATACATATATACATATTCTCCAATACATACTTTCTGTTAACCCACAATGAGGAAGCATCGACTTCATCATGATCAGGCATTTGATGTACGTTGTTGCTGCTCTCGTTGTTGTTGCTGTTATTATTATTGTCGTTCTTGTTGTTGGGCTTTTTTATGCGGACTTTATGGTTGCTACTGCTTTTTGTCTAAACATAAAATCGACAACAGAAATAGTGGCATTTCTACGAGTATCAATCTTCAAATCCATCAGACTAACAATAGACAGTCATACCATCAACCGGCCAAAGAATAACAAACACACAAATCTCACAAACAGGTACAGACCTCTTTAACAGTCGCAACAGGAACGCACATTTACACGCAAACTTACCTATACATACATGTAAATAGATGTATATGTATATACACATATATACATAAATATATGTACATATGTATATATATATATATATATATATATATATATATTTATATCAATATGTGTAAGCACATATCTCATTCCAGATGAGTGATGCGTGGGATAATTCTGTTCTAATTTGTTGCATTTGCTATCAATGCGATGTCGTCAATCGAGAAAAAATGCAGCAACAAAAATTTTACTTAAACTTACACTGAAGCCACTCTTTGAAAAATAATTTAAGAATAAAAACATTTTTATAACTTAATGCATACAATTGTATGTATGTATGCATGTAACGTTACTCATGTTGTCGTTGATATTCATGTTTATGCGATATTTTGATTTATTTGTTTATATAAGTGAATTAAGGATCGCTATGGTATGCTATTTAAGAATTTTCTTTTAATGCCATCCTTCCGACTGATTACTTTTAACGCGATCACTGTCGCTGCCGTACTTGCAATTCTAAATCCTGATAACTCCGCGATATATATTTTTATTTCATTAGCGAGCGAGAAAATCAAAAATACAAAGATTTATTCTAAGGTGAACAAAAGCGGAAAATGGAAATTATTTTTGGTATTTGACATTTCGATCTGAGCTTTTAACTAAACGTTTTATAGACATTTGACTGGTGTCTGGCTAATCAAGCGGAATACTTTTTAAGAATTTAAAAGTTCCAAAAAGGTGATAGTGAGGGAGTGAGGGTTCAATGGTATTTATAAAATAAAACCTATCATTGGCTTATCTCATACGCTTTACCTCATCTAACTGCCTTTTCATCATTAAAGAACAACAAAAAGAAAAAGTAAATAGAGAAAGGCAACTTATCTGCAATATATTCGTTTTTTAGGTGTTTAGGTCGCCTGAGTGGCCGAGTAGGCAAGAGTCTCGACTAGAAACTCTCAGTGGCCGTGGATTCAAATCTCAATTGCGGTAGAGTTGTGCTAGGTGATGCTAGTGCTTTAAGATTTTAATCTTAGAATTTATTATCTGGCTAAATTGATAATAATAATAATAATAATAATAATAGGTGTAAATCAAGATATGTAGTCATGTAGAAGAAGAAGAAGAAGGAATATGTTCCATATAACTTGACTTTACGAATCTGAACGAGTAGTAACCAATTGAAAGTCAATTATATCTCCAAAATTGCAAGATTTACGTCATTATTGGATTCTCAGATTGATGACATTCGGCCTCGTAAAGTAAAACTCACTTAGGAAACGTTAGTGGCAACTGAATGACTGGAATAAGCTACGATCCTCGTTATTGTCAGTATTGACATTATTCCTTTTAATTAATCCTGATGATTAATCGTGTGCTCGTGTGCTGACTTTTTATTCTCAAGAGATGACTCCTTTGTGCATAGTTGTCTTTTCCACAAGAAATTCATATTGGGCCTAAAAAATGAAGGAAGCGCTAATTAGCAATAATCGAAAATTCTTTGAATAAACCACCTTTTTATATATGTCGCTTGAAATTATCTCCGGGAAGTTAGTTTTGCACCTAACCCTGCAATTGTTTTGTAAGTACAAAAATTTTGACCTTGAGATGTTTTTTTTAATTTTTATCTATTTTTATAATAATATCCTCTCTGGCTTCTTCCAGTAGCAATAAGTATGCAAGCTGTACAGTTGAAGGACAAACTTAAACAAATATATTTTAGTTGCAAAATATTCCTTTAAATGTTATTTGATCGATTTTTGCTGATCCTATGAACTATTTGTATCAGCGTGCTCGGTCTGCATAATTTCTTCAACCTAGACCGCTTGTTGTGCAAGTGCAAGCGCAAGTAAGTTTGTGCTGATGCCCACAACACGCAGAAGGACTTGAGGTAGACCCGTCTTTTTTAATATCTATTGATTCAGAATCACTTGCTCGATTGTTTTAAGCTTACCTTCCCGTCTGTCCATCTCATTTTATTGTAGTTCACATCAACGCTGAAATTCTTCAGATATTTTAATGAAATTTGATACACTGACGTATTTTAGCCCAAGGACGAAACCAGTTGAGAATGGTTCGGAATGGACTACCTTTTTAACGATTTGCGTCATAACGTCTTATTTTAAATAGTCGTTATATGAATAACGCTCGGCTGTTGAAAATTATGTAATGGTGGAACGTGGTCAATAAGTCGTCATATAAATAACTGCAACGTGGTATAGAGTATCTGTCCATGGACCGTCGCCCATTGTTGTGTTTTTATTTGTTAGGCCATCTGTTGGGTTAGTCCTAGAAAATGTTTACGCAATATTAAGATCAAAACCACTTACAGGCTGAGACTTTCATATTCCTCTCTAATTATTTACGTTTTGCATGCTTCTCTTAAATATTCCCATTAAACCCTAGTATAAAACTTGTTAGGAATTGAAAGCTATTATATAAGTGTAAGGGAAGACATTCAGTTTGTTGCATCCAATTTCGCGGTCAAGACCTTTCGCACGAGAGACGTAAGGATGGTTTGACAAACGGATGTAATTAAATCG